TTTGGGTTTGAGGTGGGTTGGGTTGGGTCTTTGGTGGGTTAGGTTTTAAGGTGGGTTAAGTGAGGTGGGTTTAGGTTTATAGGTTTGGAATGGGCGGGTGAGTGGATTAGGTTTTGGGGATGAAGTGGGTTCTGGGGTTAGCTCGGGGTGGGTTTGGGTTGGACGGGTTGGTTAGGGGGGGGAGGGGGATTGAGGTGGGTAGGTTGTCCAGGTAAGTTGGTCAGTTGAGGTGGATGGTTGATCAGTTAGTTGGTTGGGGAGTTGGTAGTTGTTTGTCATTTGTTTGTTTGTTATTGTTGATGTCTCTCTCTCTCTCTCTCTCTCTCTCTCTCCTCTCTCTCTCTCTCTCCTCTCTCTCTTCTCTCCTCTCTCCTCTCTCTTCTCTCTCTCTCTCTCCTCTCTTATCTCTTCTCTCACCTCCTTCTCCATCTGTCTCTTCTCTCTCTCTCCTTCCCTAATCTCCTTCTCTCCTCTCTCTGTCCCTATCTCCTTTTTTGTTACTCCCTTCCCTACTCCTCCCTATCTCGGTCCCTCCTTCTCCCTCCATATCACCTTAGCTCCTCTATCTCCCTATCTCCCTAACCTCCCTATCTCCCTATCTCCCTAACCTCCCTATCTCCCTATCTCCCTCTCTCTCTTACTCTTCCCTATCGATTTACTACCTCCTCTCTCTCCCTTCCTATCTCATTCCCTCCCTCCTAACCCTCCCTCTTTTCCCTCCTTAACCCTTTAATTCTTCACCCTCCCTCCCTTCCTCTCCTCCCTCCTCTATACACTCCCTCCCCTCCTACCTATCTCACTCCCCCTCCTCCCATCTCCTCAATCCCTCCTCCCTCCCTATCTCCCTCTCACTTTCTCCCTCGCTTTCTCCTCCTTATCTCCTCCTCCTTCCTCCCTCCCTTCCTCCGTATCTCCCTCACTCCTTCCTCAATCCCTATCTAATTTCCTCCCTCCCTTCCCATCTCCTTCCTCACTCACTCCCGCCTCCCTCCTTCCCTATCTCACTCCCTCTCCTCCGATCTCCCTCCTCCTATCTCCCTCACCTCCCACCCTATCTCATTCCCTCCCTCCCTCCCCCCTCCTTCTTCCTTCCCTCCCTACTCCTCCCACTCTTTAAAATCTTTAAATCTCCCTCCTCCCTCCTTCCTCCCTCACTCCCTCCCTTCCTCCTCCACTCACTCCTCCCACTTTAAAATCTTTAAATCTCCCTCCCTCTCTATTCCTTCCTCCCTTCCTCACTCCCTCATCTTCTCCCTATCTTCCCCTCCCATCCTCCCTCCTTCCCTCCTCCTACCCCCTCCCTCCCTATCCCCCTCCGCCTTCCCCTCCCTTCCTCCCCCCTCCTATCCCCTTTCCTCCTCCCTCCCTATCTCCCACCTCTCCTCCCTCCCCCCTCCTCCTCCCCTCCCCTCCTCCCCCTCCCACTCCCACCTTCCTCCTCCTGCCTCTCTCCCTATCCCCTCCCTCCCCACCTTCCCTCCTCCCTCCCTCCTACCTTCCCCCACCTACCTTCCTCCTCCCTCCTGCCCTTCTCCTTCTCTCCTGACAGCGTGTGGGACGTGTCACGATCGACGCGCTGCACAGAAGGGGCGTCACCGGCGAGTTTCTGCGCAGGGAGATGTGGGGTCTTCAGACAGCTGCTTCCACGCCCGTCAAAGGGTATGCAAATGTGGCTTCTATTGCACCAATTGCCTTCGTCTTCTTTTTTCTTCTTGTTCGATTTTTTTTTTTTTCTTGAATTATTATATTATTTTTTTTTGTCTCTTTATTTGTCTTTCTATTTGTCTAATTCTGTTTCTTTCTATTTTCTCTATTCTTTTCTCTATTCCTATCTATTTTCTATCTATTTCTATATTTCTTTCATCTCTCTCTTTTCATCTCTCTCTCTCTCTCTCTCTCTCTTCTCTCTCTCTCTCTCTCTCTTTCCCCCCTCTCTCTCTCTCTCACTCTTTCTCTCTCTCTCTCCTCTCTCTCTCTCTCTCTCTCCTCTCTCTCTCTCTCACTCACTCACTCACTTTCTCTCTCTCTCTCTCTCTCTCTCTCTCTCTCTCACTCTCTCTCTCTCTCTCTCTCTCTCTCTCTCTCTCTCTCTCTCTCTCTCTCTCTCTCTCTCTCTCTCTCTCTCTCTCTCTCTCTCTCTCTCTCTCTCTCTCTTCTCCTCTCTCCTCTCTCTCTCTCACTCTCTCTCTCATTATCATTATTAATATTATCATTATTATTGTTGTTGTTGTTTCTGTCCTTATTAGTATTAGTATTAGTATTAGTATTAGTATTAGTATTATCATTGTTATTATCATTATCATTATTATCGTTATTATCATTATCATTATTATCGTTATTATAATTATCATTCTCATCTTTATTATAATTGTAATTATGAATATCATTATGGTAAACGTCACTTTTATGACTATAACTATTATTACTGTTATCATTACTGTTATTACCATAACATCAGTGCTATCATCAACGTCATTATCAACATCAATTATAGTCAGAA